TTGGCCCCTCTGAGCCCCTAATTTGAGGGGTCAGCCCCTTTTTCTTGATACCAATTGAAAGATCTTGTGATTTTGAAGACTTTTTGTTCAACAACTATTCAGAGATTTCTTTTCGTTGTGGAGATATGATGAATGGAAATATTTAGGGGCCAACCCTCCAAGTCCTTAATGGGGCCGTTTAATAAGAATTGAAAGGGTGCATATTATTTAGAACATTATTCTGACCATCTTTTGTTCAATATTGCTTATCAAAATATTCCCCCTTTTCGAGATATAAAGCATCAAAGATTTAGCATTCTGGCCCCTTGTGACCCCTTATTACGTAACATATGATCAGAATCTTATCATATATTGTTGTAAATCGTTAAGATAAGCATCTTTGCTTCAGTAATGTATTACAAATTATTGATCGTTAAAGAGTTATAGATGAAAGACTTTTGGCCCCTCTGAGCCCCTAATTTGAGGGGTCAGCCCCTTTTTCTTGATACCAATTGAAAGATCTTGTGATTTTGAAGACTTTTTGTTCAACAACTATTCAGAGATTTCTTTTCGTTGTGGAGATATACTGAATGGAAATATTTAGGGGCCACCCCTCTAAGTCCTTAATGGGGCTGTTTGACAAAAATTGAAAGGGTGCATATTGTTTAGAACATTATTCTGACCATCTTTTGTTCAGTATTGCTTATCAAAATATTCCCCCTTTTCGAGATATAAAGCATCAAAGATTTAGCATTCTGGCCCCTTGTGACCCCTTATTACGTAACATATGATCAGAATCTTATCATATATTGTTGTAAATCGTTAAGATAAGCATCTTTGCTTCAGTAATGTATTACAAATTATTGATCGTTAAAGAGTTATAAATGAAAGAATTTTGGCCCCTCTGAGCCCCTAATTTGAGGGGTCAGCCCCTTTTTCTTGATACCAATTGAAAGATCTTGTGATTTTGAAGACTTTTTGTTCAACAACTATTCAGAGATTTCTTTTCGTTGTGGAGATATGCTGAATGGAAATATTTAGGGGCCAACCCTCCAAGTCCTTAATGGGGCCGTTAAATAAGAATTGAAAGGGTGCATATTATTTAGAACATTATTCTGACCATCTTTTGTTCAGTATTGCTTATCAAAATATTCCCCCTTTTCGAGATATAAAGCATCAAAGATTTAGCATTCTGGCCTCTTGTGACCCCTTATTACGTAACATATGATCAGAATCTTATCATATATTGTTGTAAATCGTTAAGATAAGCATCTTTGCTTCAGTAATGTATTACAAATTATTGATCGTTAAAGAGTTATAGATGAAAGACTTTTGGCCCCTCTGAGCCCCTAATTTGAGGGGTCAGCCCCTTTTTCTTGATACCAATTGAAAGATCTTGTGATTTTGAAGACTTTTTGTTCAACAACTATTCAGAGATTTCTTTTCGTTGTGGAGATATGATGAATGGAAATATTTAGGGGCCAACCCTCCAAGTCCTTAATGGGGCCGTTTAATAAGAATTGAAAGGGTGCATATTATTTAGAACATTATTCTGACCATCTTTTGTTCAATATTGCTTATCAAAATATTCCCCCTTTTCGAGATATAAAGCATCAAAGATTTAGCATTCTGGCCCCTTGTGACCCCTTATTACGTAACATATGATCAGAATCTTATCATATATTGTTGTAAATCGTTAAGATAAGCATCTTTGCTTCAGTAATGTATTACAAATTATTGATCGTTAAAGAGTTATAGATGAAAGACTTTTGGCCCCTCTGAGCCCCTAATTTGAGGGGTCAGCCCCTTTTTCTTGATACCAATTGAAAGATCTTGTGATTTTGAAGACTTTTTGTTCAACAACTATTCAGAGATTTCTTTTCGTTGTGGAGATATACTGAATGGAAATATTTAGGGGCCACCCCTCTAAGTCCTTAATGGGGCTGTTTGACAAAAATTGAAAGGGTGCATATTGTTTAGAACATTATTCTGACCATCTTTTGTTCAGTATTGCTTATCAAAATATTCCCCCTTTTCGAGATATAAAGCATCAAAGATTTAGCATTCTGGCCCCTTGTGACCCCTTATTACGTAACATATGATCAGAATCTTATCATATATTGTTGTAAATCGTTAAGATAAGCATCTTTGCTTCAGTAATGTATTACAAATTATTGATCGTTAAAGAGTTATAAATGAAAGAATTTTGGCCCCTCTGAGCCCCTAATTTGAGGGGTCAGCCCCTTTTTCTTGATACCAATTGAAAGATCTTGTGATTTTGAAGACTTTTTGTTCAACAACTATTCAGAGATTTCTTTTCGTTGTGGAGATATGCTGAATGGAAATATTTAGGGGCCAACCCTCCAAGTCCTTAATGGGGCCGTTAAATAAGAATTGAAAGGGTGCATATTATTTAGAACATTATTCTGACCATCTTTTGTTCAGTATTGCTTATCAAAATATTCCCCCTTTTCGAGATATAAAGCATCAAAGATTTAGCATTCTGGCCTCTTGTGACCCCTTATTACGTAACATATGATCAGAATCTTATCATATATTGTTGTAAATCGTTAAGATAAGCATCTTTGCTTCAGTAATGTATTACAAATTATTGATCGTTAAAGAGTTATAGATGAAAGACTTTTGGCCCCTCTCAGCCCCTAATTTGAGGGGTCAGCCCCTTTTTCTTGATATCAAATGAAAGGTCGTAACATTCTGCACAACTTTTCTTCTATATGTTTTAACAAATTCTTAACAGGTGTGAAGATATGAAAGAAAAGGTTTGAAATTTTGTGAGATGTTTCTGAGACATTTTTTGAGTCCTACCGAGCTTCGGCGCCTTTTGCGCTAGAGAGATTTGGACACCTGCCTGCAAATCTACAAACCTTCCCCTACCTTCACTGAAAATCTTGAATCAATATCTTAAGTCGTTTCGGAAAAGTTTCCAGGACAAGCCGACCCTCTAAAAATCAGAAAATCCTAAATATCTCGAGATGGAAAGTGACGTCATCAACGAAAAAAATTTCCAATAAGGTTCAGATCAATACCTATCAGATCTGAAAGTTTCATGAAAATCGGCCAAGACATTTTCGAGAACTCGCGTGCACAAAATCGGTAAGAATAATAATAATAATAATAATAATAATAATAGGGAAAAAGAAACCGAACGAAAACAATAAGGTCTTCCGTTGGAGACGGAAGACCTTAATAAGAAAAGGAAACAATACAATAATAGAAGGGTCTTCCGCTGAAGACGGAAGACCCTAAAAATGGATGATTTTTTTGATACTGACTTTATAATTATGTGTGGAGACTGGAATGTAGTACAAGATTACCAGTTAGACTGTTACAATTATGTTAGAGAAAACAATCCCAAAAATAAACTTGAAATTGAAAAATTAAAATCAAAATTCAATTTAGTAGATCCTTGGAGAATCAAAAACCCAGATGCTAAAAAATATACATGGAGTAGGAAGAACCCAGTAAAACAGGCTAGACTTGACTTTTTTTTAGTATCAGAGGAACTCTTATCAATTATAAATGATGTTCACATGATGCCAGGCTATAGGACTGATCACTCTATCATAGAATTAGATATTACTATTAATGAATTTAAACGTGGAAAGGGATTCTGGCGTTTTAACAATTCCTTATTGAGAAACAAAGAATTTGTGACAAATGTTAAAAAAATTATAAGGGAAACGGATAATGAATATCGTATTGATGAATCAATGTTAGGAATACCAGATAATCTTTTTCTTGATGTTCTATTAATGAAAATAAGGGATATGGCAATACAATTATCTGCAAATTTGACCCGAGAAAGGAGGGATCACAAAGCAAAGATTGGAAATCAACTTAGAATTTTACATGATATGTATAATAATTACCCTTTGTCAATTTATCTAGATATGATAAGTGACCTTGAGACAGAATTAGAGAAAATTAGAAAATATGAATTGAAGGGGCTATTGTTAAGAAGTCATTGTAAATGGATAGAAGATGGGGAGAAACCTACAAAATATTTTTGTGCCTTAGAAAAAAGAAATTATGTCAATAAAAATATTAGCAATTTAATCAATAATGATGGTAAATATGTAAATAAGCAAGCAGATATCTTAGAAGAAGTAAGGAACTTTTACAAAAAATTATATGAAAACAAAGATCAGGAGCTTGATGATGTAAATCTTGAAGACTTATTCCAAAACTTTGAGGTTCCTAAAATAAATAATGATATGAAAAACATTTTAAATGCTGAAATTACAAAACAAGAAATACTTCAAGCTCTTAAAAATTTTAAGAACGACAAAACACCTGGAACTGACGGTTTTACAGCAGAATTTTTCAGGTTTTTTTGGACAGATATTAATTCATATATTCTCAAATCCTTTAATTACAGCTATGAAGTAGGTCAATTATCCTATACTCAGATGCTTGGAATTATTTCTATTCTACCAAAAGGCAATAAGCCAAGGGAACAATTAAAAAATTGGCGACCAATTACATTATTGAACATTACATATAAACTCTTATCTAGTGTCTTAGCAAATCGAATGAAACCAATTCTGTCAAAAGTAATACATGAAAATCAAAAAGGGTTTCTTGCTGGTAGATATATTGGTGAAAACTCAAGGTTATTATATGACATCATACATTATTGTAAAGAGAATGATCATTCAGGTCTTGTTTTATTGATTGACTTTGAGAAAGCATTTGACTCTATTTCTTGGAGATTTATTTTTAAAGTACTCAGATTTTTTAATTTTGGTGAGAATTTTTTAAAATGGATAAAGATTTTGTTTAGAGAACCTAAGTTATGTGTTATTCAAAATGGTATTTTTTCTGAATTTTTCCAAATGGGACGAGGTTGTAGGCAAGGTGACCCAATTTCACCTTACTTGTTCCTACTATGTGCAGAAATAATGGGAATTATGATTAGAAATAATAAATTAATAAAGGGCATTGTTATTGAAGATAAAGAATATAAACTACTACAATATGCTGATGATACAGTTTTATTAATGGATGGTTCAGAAGACTCAATTAGATCAGCTTTGTCTCTAGTCAATCAGTATTCCAAATTCTCTGGACTGAAGCCAAATTATGATAAAACTCAATGTATTAGGATTGGATCTACTGTTCATACTGATGATAACTTGTGTGATAAATATCAAAACTTGATGTGGTCACAGGAACCATTTACAGTGTTAGGTATAGCATACTGTGTAGATCTAGACACAAACACTATGTTTGATTTGAATTTTTTGCCAAAGATTGACTCTGTCAAAAAGCTTATATCATCATGGTCTAGAAGACATTTATCAACGGCAGGTCGTATAACAGTAGTAAAAACCTTGCTTTTACCTAAATTTAGTCACTTATTAATTAGTTTACCGAGCCCTTCTAAAGAAAAACTCAAAGAAATTGAAGCTATATTTTTTCATTATATCTGGAATACCAAAACGGCTAGGGTGGCTAAAAATATTATATGCCAAAGTTATGAAAACGGTGGTATGAGAATGACATGTCTTGATTCATTTTGTAAAAGTTTAAAAATTACATGGATTCGCAGATTGTTTGATAGTTCATGTAAATCAGCCTGGAAAGAATTGCTAAAAGATTTAATTCCTGACATTAAATATTTAGTTATTTATGGTAGGGATTTTTCAAAAAAACTTAAGAAAGATACGGAAAATGTTTTCTGGAATGATGTTTTTTCAGCATTGTTGGATTTGAGATTATGTATTGATGATCAAACATCTATTTTAAGTCCCATATGGTATAATCCATCAATATGTATAAACAACAGAAGTGTTTGTTATAAGTCATGGCTGAGACAAGGTATACAATTTGTTTTTGATTTTTATGATACAAATGGGACTTTGTTAGGATACCAAGACTTTTGTAAACAATATAATTTAAAAACACCTTTTACAATGTTTTTAGGCATAACAAATTGTATTAGAAAATTGCAGTTGAATTATGATCATAAGATAATTCAAAGAAATCAACCTTTCTTCCCAAAATTCTTACAAACAATAACAAAAAGCAAACAAGGTGCAAGAGATTTCTATGATGTTTTTATTAGTCAGAAATACAAAAAACCAAAAAGTGAAATGAAATGGGAAAAAATTTTAGAACTTAATGTTGATGAATTTTGGTGGAAAAAACAAAACATTCTGTTTTTTAACATAACAAATGATATACAGTTAAGATGGTTCCACTATAGAATTGTACATAGAATTTTAGCTACAAATACATATTTACACAAAATTGGTGTTACTGACTCAGATTTATGTAGTTTTTGTAAGAAACACCCAGAGACACTTTGTCATCTTTTTTGGGAATGCGAGTGTGTTGCAGAAATTTGGGAAAATGTACTGGAGTGGATGAAAGAACAGTTTGGAGTTGATATATCTCTAAACAAAGTTGATGTTTTGTTGGGAAAACATTATAAATATAACAATATATTTAATTTAGTAGTATGTATAATAAAAAAGCATATTTATAGAAATAGATGCAAAAAATGTGTACCATCTTTTGAGAGGGTCAAACAAGAGGTTATGTATTATTTTAATTGTGAAAAATATATTTATAAGAAAAATGGGGAAATGGACAGTTTTAAAAAACGATGGAATTTGATAATGTTTTAATATGATTAATATATTTGAAAAAACAATGCAGTTACAGATGTACATCAACTTTTCACTGATTATATTAAGATTTCAGTTGTTAAATATTATTATAAATATAATCATATGCATGTTATGTAGCGAATGGTGTGTGAATGATATGTGAAAAAAATGTCCTGTCACATTATGATTGTGTAATATATATGTGTATTATGTATGTTACTTAGTGAACCCAGGGCCCCAACCCTGGCACTATTATATACTTGGACATGTGATGGGGCAATAAAAAAAAAAAAAAAAAAAAAAAAAAAAAAAAAAAAAAAAAAAATTTTAAAGTGGGTAGCGGCATTTCTATGCATGTCCGATTTCGCTGCCGTTTATTAACTAAATAATTCAAAAAATGATTTGAAGATAATAGACCATATTATTAAACGATGTTCACTGAAAAACAATCATTGAAGCCATCAAAAAATTAAGGACCACAATAGGTGAGAACAGCTGTGCACCAGGTGATTGGTCACTAATTACTGTATATACACAGCCATAGGCGATAACGGGTGTTTACATGTGTAGATAACAACACGCTAATTACCTGTATGCATATTTAAGTTATTTCTTGATAAGTTTTTGATAAAAATATTTACTTTAAAATAAGAAAAAATACACATCCGAGTAACCGAGTACCATTCTTAGTATTCGATACTCGGACGTTCGATCGAGTACCCGGTTAACCGGGTACTCGTTGACATCCCTAATATATATATATATATATATATATATATATATATATATATATATATATATATATATATATATATATATATATATATATATATATATACTGTAAAAAATGTGCTTAGGAATTAAACACTTCCATTACGTGTTTAGATCTAAACGTGTTTGATATTGTGTTTAACAACAAAACACTTATGTTTAAATGTATTAAAAATCTATACGCGTTTAGATATTGAACATGTTTTTTGTTTTAAATTCGGTTAAGTGCAGAGTTATCTTCCCGGAAATGATACCTATTTGAACGTTAATAAGCGCGGTTGTCGAAACAAAGAAAATCGCAACAAAACAGTAAACGATGTTTTCAAGAAAGCTGATGAGAACTTGAGTGCCAACCACCGCAGAAATAGTGAAAAACACGTGAAAGGCTCATTGTTATTGCTATAGGGTATGTATGCCTTTGTTTTTATATAAAATAAACATGATGAGCAAAGTAAATAACATTGCACTTTATATCAAGGATGCCTTTCGGTGTCATATCATGTATTCATTAATGAGAGTAAATATTGAATCTATAGTTACAATAATATTTATTTAAACATTTTTATTATATGCTTAGTAATTAAATAAATGTAAAACTTCAGCATGTTCAGTGAGGAGCACATACTGTTACTTAAATGCAACGTACGTCCTTTCTTACAGGTTAACTTAATTGGGTAGCCGAGAGAAAGAACACAATTCATTTCTGATAATGGATGTGAATTATACTGCCGTAGAAAATACCTTCAAGCTTATCCAGATACTCTGCTGCTTTGTTTACATCACGACGGATTTGAAATAGTGATCCATATTGCATCACATTGCAAGAAGCACACCATAGCTGGAGTCTTTTACATTTATATTTACTTTGTATTATGCTACTGGTACAAAATGCAGGCAATTCAACAACTTGGATGTTACTAACTCTAGATGCCAGATAGTTTTGTATGTCAAAACTTCTTAAAGACTTTGTAACAAACAACGGAAACTATTCACAAGTATAAGGAATTCCATCGATCAATGATTCCGTGACTGCGTCAGGACACTTTACTTTATTTAGGCCTTTTTTATCATTTTAATATGATGTTTAGAAGTAAATAAAACTTAAAACGGACACACCTGTTATATTTTGTTTTTCTTGCAGATCCTTGTTTAAAACATTGAAGTGTTTAGCTTCTAAACGCGAATCTAAGTGTTTAGAATCGTGTTTAAACTCTAAATATGTAAGTATTTAGGTTTAAAACACTTTCCATTTTGTGTATTGAAATTCAACATGTTTAAAATTTAAACGCATTAAAAAAAGTGTGACAAGAAAGTGCTTAGGAATGTGTCTATCATCTAAACACATTTTTTACAGTGTAGAGAGAGAGAGAGAGAGAGAGAGAGAGAGAGAGAGAGAGAGCAAAATAATTTTGTATGGGTAATATTACTTACATGTATGTTCTCGATGCAATAAATCATGATATACAATGTACACATATATATAGGTATCCCTTTTTGGACTTGGGATCTTATCATAATGCACTTTATTAACGACGATTTGATCTTATCAGTAGTCAGTCTACAGAATAATGACCCTTCTTGCTTCGTATTTATCATCTGTGTTGCTTTTTGTATCTGCACATTTTATATGCTCTGGTGAGTTTACCTTCTTTCATTAAATCTTTTTCAAAAAGTTATCCAATAAAAATGTGTTTAAAAATCTTTCATAATTTTAGTAGCAAGTCAGAAGTTTCTCGAATTCATTTATTTATCACAGCTAGTTTTACTAGAGGAAAATTCAGATAAGAAATATATTTACTATCAGAACATAATATTAGATACGATGTACTTGTAGTAAAATTCCTTGGATGCAAAACGGCAAAAAGTTTTCCTTAGTTTTTGTAAATTGATGTACTTTGGATTTTCCTGAAGTTAAAAATATTTAAATTCCCACATGTTTAATTTTTTTTAATATTATTTTTTGTGCAACTGTATATAAATCCCTTCCACTATTCTCTATTGAAGATGTTCTTTTTCAGTGCGAGGCGACTGCCGAGATGGATGGACAAAGTTTCAAGGAAGCTGTTATTTATTCGCTAGTGAAGCAGCGACTTGGGCGGAAGCCGTGGTAAAATACTTTGTAGAAGCAAAATAATGAATGACAATGATGAATTACCAGTAATTGTAAATAATAAGAATGAAAATGTCTGTTATAGTCATATTGCCTCAGTATGAACTCGAATCTTGTTGAAATTGGGAGCGCCACCGAGAATGCATTTTTAGAAGGAGAACTTAAGATCATACATGGTCATGGTACGAATTTTCTTTTCAAATTATTGTACATATTCTTTACGAAGAACTTTTCACAACGTGCATTTGTATGTTTAATTTTGGAATGCTTCAAACATTTGGATATATAACCGTATCTGAATTCCTAGATTCCCATTCTAAGAATCAAAATGAAGTGTCTTACTGGTTGGGAGGAAATGATATGGAAATTGAGGGATCCTTCACGTGGGCCAAAAGTGGTAACCCTGTGACCTTTACGGACTGGAATCCAGGGCAACCAGACGACTATAGCAACGGCGAGGACTGTATAGAGCTTCAAGGGGCCATGGACTACCACTGGAATGACCTTCCCTGCACCAACAGACATAGATTTATCTGCGAATCTTCGTAAGTCTTCGTAAATCTTTGATAAGTTCTTGATTCCTTTTCAAAATTTCCAAAAGAAAATATTGATAATTCCTAACTCCTCGTCCGTTATTAGAGAAGTTTGTGATGATTGCATAATTATTCTGAGTTTATATTTGAATGGATAATTTAATTGTATCGCTTTTTATTGAAATCACATTTTTCTTTATGCGAAATATATTTTATTTTAATTATTTATTTTAAAAATATTTTCAATAGTTTTGACCGCTTCTTATCTATCAGAGAGAGAGAGAGAGAGAGAAACAAGAGCACTAAGAGACAACAACCTTTGGTTATTTTCTTTATCAATATTTAATAATCCTTTAGAAATTAAAACTTTAATCTTTGACCTTTTTCTTAAAACTAACCATTATTTAACAAGTTGCATAACATGTTTTCAATTTTTACTAGTCCCAAAGTACAATGTCTTTAGTGTTTGTAAATGAATTCATCTTTCAAAAAATATTCTGAAGACCACTATTGTGACGCGATGGTGATGTTTTATTTAAAGTTTGCTGTTCTGTATCAGCAATACAGAACGAGACTACAGTGGGCGGAGCTATTTCTCGTTTTGTATTAGCCCTGTATACTGTGTTGTATTAGCCAACTTTTCTGTATTTAAAATACAGCACGGTCTAAAAATAAATCTAATTCAATATGTCGAAAGCACGTACAAATAGTAAATGCTGATTTTTTTCCTTTTATGAATTTTGGGTTAATATTTCCTTGTGGATGTAAAATGTCAAATTTTCTCAATCACTTTTAAGAACTTATTCCACACAGAATCTAACGGTACACGTTACTTAGATCCAAACGAAAAGGAATCTTCACAGTTATGGAAAACTGATGCTGTGTTGAATAAATTCTCAAAACCTGTTTGCTTTCCCTGCATAGCTTTTGTATGTCCCCTTCAGAACGGTAAAGCCAATCGTTCACGGTTGCAGCATCCATTAAGTGAAATTCCATACCTCTCCTTTTTTCCACTGTTCTCGATCATTTACATCCATTTTTAAGTGCTTTGATTTTTAAAAAACTCTTCTTAAATCCTTATCACTGACGAGTTACTACATATCTATCAATTCGTGTTGAATGTCGCATTTCAATGAGAAAATAAAAATCCGTGACATTAAACATAGAAATCTGTCTGTATCGCATGTATTTGTATCTAGGTTAACTGAGATTTTGAAACTCCTCGAATATTTCAGGATCAATCTCCATAATGTCATAAATCTGCAAAAAGGTCAAATCGTCTAGCTTATCTGTTAAGAAATCAAAAGAGCTCAAATCAAATGCGTCTACCACCTTCTCAAAACTAATTTGACTGTTTTTACGTTGTATACTGCGGATGCTACACAGCTAAAAGTGGGAGGTGCTTATTTTGATTGATTCGTGTCATAAATCATTAAGAGAACTCGACAGATTCTCTATCGTAAATACAAATTTGGTTCGGAGTCTCATGCTACGCACTCGTCCACCCCCAAATTTGTATCTACGATAGGGAACCCGCCTCGTCCTTTCAATAACGCTTAATGACAGAAGGATTAGTTTTTTAGGTCACCTGAGTTTACTCAGATGACCTATTGCTATCCGTTTTCGTCCGTCGGCGTGCGTTGTGCGACGTGCGTTAACATTTGAACATTTTCTGCTTCTTTTTTGAAACCGCTCGATCAACCAATTTCAACCAATTTTGGCATATGGCATCTATGGATGAAGGGGGACAAAATTTGTGAATTTCATTGTCCCTGCCCCCCCCGGGGGGGGCTGAGGGGTGGGGCCAAACACACTAAAATTAATGCAATCTTTAAAAATCTTCTTCTTTACTCATGGACATTAAGCAGTCAAACTGTTGGCATGATTGTAATAAGCATTGAGTCAGGGTGAGGGGTTCTGGCGCTAGGGTGGGGCTCGCAGCATGATTATATAGTGAAAATGCATTAATTGTTTAAAAATCCTCTCCTCTGCTCCTGGGTATTAAGCCGATGAACTAAGTACATAGTTATTATGTTGAGGGGAGCCTCTTTTAAAATTATGAATTTCATGGCCCCTGGGTCAGGGGTTCTGGTGTTAGGGCGGAGTTCTAATGATAATATAGTGAAAATGCATTAATTCTTTGAAAATCTTCTCTTCTGGTCCTTGGTATTAAACCAATGAACTAAGTACATGCACATAGTTATGATGAGGAGGGGGGCCTCTTCTAAAATTATGAATTTCATGGCCCCTGGGTTAGGGGTCCTGGTGTTAGGGCGGGCTCTAATGGTAATATAGTGAAAATATATTAATTCTTGAAAATCTTCTTCTCTGCTCCTGGGTATTAAGCCGATGTATGAAGTAGATAGTTATAATAAAGAAGGGTGCCTCTTCTAAAATTATGAATTTCATGGCCCTTGGGTCAGGGGTTCTGGTGTTAGGGCGGGGCTCTATTGATCATAAAGTGAAAATGCATAAATTCTTTAAAAATCTTCATCTCTCCCACTGTATATAAAGAAGATAAACTAGGTCCATGATTATGATGATCAAGGGTGCCTTTTCCATAATTGTGAAATTTGTGGCCCCAGGGTCAGGGGTTCTGCGGGGAAGGGGGGTCTCTATTGATTAAATAGTGAAAGTGCATAATTTATTTAAAAACCTTCTTCTGTGCTCCTAGGTATTAAGCAGATAAACCTAATATATATAGTTATGATGATCAAGGGTGCCTCTTCCAAAATTGTGAAATTTGTGGCCTCAGGGTGAAGGGTTGTGCGAGGGGGGGGGGGGGGCTCCATTGATTATATAGTGAAAGTGCATTATTTCTTTGAAAATCTTATTCTCTGCTCCTAGGTATTAAGCAGATAAACGAAGTATATAGTTATGATGAGCAAGGGCAACTCTTTCAAAATTATGTATATCTTGGTTAACGTTCCTGGGTCAGCGGTTCTGGTGTTAGGGCGGGGCTATATTGAATACATAGTGAAATGGCATTAATTCTTTGAAAATCTTCGCTCCTGGGTATATAGCAGATAAACTAGGTGCATGTTTATGATGATTAAGGATGTCTCTTCCAAAACTGTGAAATTTGTGGCCCCAGGGGTTCCTGTTGGGGTGGGGGTCTATTAAATGTATAAAGTAATGCATCTTTTTGTTGAAAATCTACTCTGTCCCAAGGTATTTAACAGAAAAACTAATTTCATTTATCTTTTCTAAAAAATTAAAATTCATAACTCCGGTGTCAAGGATTTTGGTGTTAGGGTGAGGCTCTTTTGAATATATAGTAGAAATGCATTATTTATTTGAAAATCTTCTTTACGCATTGTTAAGGAAACATACTAAGTACATGGTTATGATGAGCAAGAGTGCCTCTTCCAAAATTGTGAATATCTTGGCCCCTGGGTCAAGGATAATTGGTATTAGGGTGGGGCTGTATTGAATCTATAGTGAAAATTTATTATTTCCTTGAAAATCTTCTCTGCTCCTGGGCATGTAGGAGGCAAATAGAGTTTATAAAGTTGTAATAAACAGGGATGTTTTTACCAAATTTTGAAATTCTGTACCCTTTGGTCAATTTATTTATTTCGACTGAAAGAAGTTATTCCCCTTTGCTATTCACCTATAATAGTTAATCACTGTAAATAATGTAACTTAAAAGGTCAATTGAATAACAGAATTATACAAGAAATTTTATAATATTTAATACAAAAGTACTTTCATAGTTTTTAATGGTCAGGCAAACTTTTGAGTAATAGATAAATGAAAATGGGACAAAATTAAGATATCTCTGTACAATAAATAATCTTTAAAGATCAAGAGAGGCCAATGCGAGGGGGGATGAATTGTGTTCACTAATAGCGCTCTAGAACTATTGTTTTGTTTAGTCCGCATGAGGATAGTGACAAATGGGGAAAGTACAGGCAAATAAATAGATCAACTTTAAGATTTGTAATTGAGAACTGAATTAATATGTTGCTGATCCCTGATCATCCTATTTCTCTTGCTTTTGGGCAAAAAAGCTTTATTTATCAGCTTATTTTGTTTTAATCTATGGATCATTACATTATACTCAGGTGACGGTTAAGACCCTTGGGCCTCTTGTTTATCAAATAAATCAAGAGTATGATGTCCCTTAGATTGACAAATACAGGAAAACACTGTTTTATTGGTGTTTCAAAAAGTTTTTTGGCTGTTTACAAAGTACAGGTACAATACATTTTTCTGTTCCATCATAATATTCAGAACTTCATTTAGGAATCATAAATGAATTTAATGAATTAAAATGAATTTAGATTATGATTTGATTTTATTTACGTGTTTTCTCTACAAAGGCTCCTAGATGATGGTGCCATATCAAGTGTGATCGGAAGACGATGATAACATCCAGGATCCTAGCCTCATTTTGTTTTGTTTCTCTGGTTATAAACGAATAAGAAAACAACGAATTCTGTTGTCTTTGCCACTGAAAGATTTAAAGGGAAGGAGGGGGCTAATTTTTATCTACATCTCTGTATCGTTGCCTACAACTTTAACTTTTAAAACAAACAAATCTCCTAATAATTGACATTAAGCTAGTCCGATCCTAAGGATCTGAAAAACAACATCCTCGCAAGCAAGGGGTCCTGAGTCAACACTATGCCGTTGGACTCCTGGCATATTTCATTCAATATTCGTGGGCTTGCTTCTCTCATTGAGAAGCACCAATCAAATTAAAGCTTTCATAAATAGTTAGACAAGGATTCAGTTGACACCTCAAATGCACGTGTTACAAGTTGTTTATCATAGAATGGCTTAATGTGATTGGTTGAGAGAAAAGAAAAACAATCAAGATTTTGTAATTTTTCCGAAAGACGTAGCTACAGTCAGTCCACATGTATAACAAACATTAATCAAGCGAAAAATCTATCGGTACAAAATAATTCGGGAGCAGAGGAAACACGGACCTCTAATAAGCATCTCCTGTATACCAGTCACACCCATCCTGTGCTCCTGTCATGATCGAGTAAATAAAAAAAATCCAAGAATCCGTAGACAATTCAGTGTAAAAAACATGAATATTAAAATTCATGATATGTTTTTACGTTTGAATTGACATTCATAATCATGCCTAAGTTCTATAAAATTAAGACTGAACTTTTATAATTCTAAAGTGCACATGTATTTATATTTATTGAAATTATTTGTAATGTATATTCTTCTTTTCAATATATGTCTGAAATTACAATCAATCAAAGATTAAGATTTGGGGTATTTTCAAGATATGGCAGTCAATTACCTTTAAAATCACGAGGACTTTTTTTTCTTTTTTGTCATGTGCGGAGAAGAGATAGAGCGGAAGTTATATTGAAAACTTGGAATTTCCCGTAACCAGCTGATGTCGCGACTTTCTTTACGTCTTGCACCATTATCACCGACAACTAAACATCCACCTGATTCGAAGAGTAACCCGTGATTCTCAGTTCAAACTAGATGATGTTTGTTGGTGATAAACAGCGCAACTTGCAAATTAGTGAATATAAAAATCTTCCTGTAACAAATCTACCGAGGATCCAAGATTTTGCAAATCGATAGTCGTCTGCTTCAACTTGCTACAGTAAATATACAAAATATAACACCGGGTTTTAAAAAACCCTTTCCATCTTATACGTGAAAAGAAGAAAACACTCGCTGTGGCCTTCAACTCGACATTTAGATATCGACGACGTAATGTCAGTTAACAATGGTTATTTCCATTCTTTTGTCGATATGATATATCCCGGTGAGCTTGAAATAAAAGATACCACAGAGTCTGACACATCTGTTTCATATTTGGATATTTTACTAGAAAAAGACTTAATGATAATCTAACAACCAAGCTTTATGATAAACGTGATGACTCTAACTTTTCAATCGTCATCTTCCCTTACTTATGCAGCAATATACCTTCATCACCTGCATACGGGGTTTATGTTTCTCAGTTGATTCGATACGCAAGAGATGCTCTACGTATGAGAAATTTCTAAAACGAGGTAATTTATTGACAAACACGTTGACGAAACAAGAATATCAACAGTCTCGTTTAAAGTCGTCCTTCCTAAGTTGTATGGTCGATACAATGACCTTGTCAGCAAATACAATTTATCATTAAGTCAAATGCTGACTGACGTTTTTCATACTAATTGTTAGGCCATTATTTACACACTGAATTGTCGACGGATTTTTCGTTATTTCCCAGGAGAACACGGCGGGTGTGACTGGTCGGCAGGGGATGCTCACTCCTACATGGCACCTGATCCCACTTCTGATGTTTTAGAGGTCTGTGTTTGCTGCGCTGCAAAATTTGTATTGTTTAATGGACTTTTGAGCTTGAATATTGTTTTTTCTCCATACATATAATTTCAGTGTTTTTTTTTAAACAGTTGATCTTTTTTTAATTTTTTGATACAAGCTTATTAAGAGTATTAGTTTTAGGTCATTAAATGAGCTAGATATTGCAATCACTGTAGACTTCCACTTCGCATAGCTGTAAATACTCCGGAACAGGGGAGGTAATTTGTAGACGTACGTAGCGCCCTCTACAGTTTTCTGCACACACCATGTCCACCTTCTGATGAGACGTTCCAGGACCGCTAAAGAATCCACAGAAACAGGGGAAGGTCACGTTGTTTGTTCCCACAGTCACGTTCAAATCATGCAGACGATCCTCTTAAAAAGGACGAAAACAAAATAACTTATGCTTCAAGTAGGCCTGTACTTTTTAGATTATAAATATGAACATTAACTCAAATACCTAAAAACTGAAACTCAAACTTAATATTGCCTAAATTCAGCAATTTTCATAACATCATAAATAATAAACTTAAAAAATCAAAAATACAACATAATAAGTAAATTTTCGAGAAGCAGATTTTAGTAATATTATATAAAAAAGATCATCATTCCCCCCTCTCCCATTTATTCTATTTGCGGTATTTATATACCGGAAAACAGCGTATTTCGTATAGAAAAAAGAATTTAGAGGTTACCTTACACAAAATCAAACTCTATGATATCCGAATTGAATAACGTGATAATGCCGGTAAAATATTTCGAATGTGGCTTTATAATAATAACATAAATAGAAAATAAGCATTGATAAGCCTAACATAAGTTTTCGCCAACTAAAGGTGCTCCCCATCTAAATAGATCAATACAAAAATTGATCCTATACTATAAAACCAAGAAGGTCTGGGAGTAACCGCCATTTTTTGGTCCCCTGATCTCGGTTACAAATGCTTTAAATTTACGCTTGTTTCGCAATAAAATACTTAAAATTCTTATGATCAGTTTTGTAGAAATTCATTTAATATATTTATGTATGCGTCAAAATCTGACTTTTTTTCCCAGTGGAGATAACATAGATACCAAAACAGCAGGAGATGTAATGGTTTGTTGATTTATTAGTATAGGGGTCTTTTTTCAATGTACTGATTTTGATGGGGAGCGACGGTATAGGAAAAAAAAAATACAAAGTCAATTCAAAGTCTCAAATTACCTGAAGTTTTTCTGTTTACGAAAACGACCCGTCTGACGAAGAAGTAGTCCAATAGATCTGCTGTCAACCAAGGTCGTAAGTCACGGTGAGTACATGAGCACTCTGTGTTGTCAGATTTCACTTCTCCATTCACTGCGAGACTACCGTTACCAAGGCGCTGGTAGGCATAGACAGGATCGTCAAATACAGAGCTCATAAACACAGGGCTATTTAGGGCAAGGTTATCTGAAACAATGTAAGATATCCAATGTATGAGGTAAGGAGACACAAAAATGGTATCCCAGTTGATATTGCTAAGATTTTTTACTTATTAACTGCTAAATTTCACACAGGCATCTTAAGTTTCTGGGGGTCGTAACATAAAGGGTACTTAAGTTTAAGCCCATGCTTAAGTAGGACTTAAGTACAGTCTTAAACTTAAGACCGTAACTAGAAACGTGCTAAGATTTGACAATCTTAGCAAAACTTAGGCGGCCGGAAGAGGTGACTTAAGTATGGCTTAACTTTCTTAAACATATATTTAGAACTATTTAAGGTTGACTATCTATGTTAAAACATTCCTCTATTTATATTATGCATTAAAAAATAATTTTCTATATTTAATATACTGGTATAAGAATTTTAGTTTTTCGTCGGGGGGGGGGGGGGAGGGGGGGGGGTTATTCATCACTGATTACAATATCACTCTCTAAATGACATATACATGTAAATGCAACATATTATTTTTGGGATACGTTTGAAATATTAGTGGGACCTAGGTTATAAACACTAATCATTATAAGTATATTGTATAATTTCAATTATAAAAGTAATTTGTATACAGCAATCATGGATTTGTTTGTTCACTGTGAGAAAATGAGATGAAATGATTTTAAAAATTGTCGGTGAATTAAAGAATGATGACTAGAAAACAAATAAAGATTTTCTGTAAATTAGATTCTGTAACGTATTTACATTAAACACAGGGGTCGTACCTGGTCAATTCCAGGGTTTGGGGTGTTCAACATTAAATGATTAAAAACTGATTGGTATGATTTAAGTGGACTGCCGAAATATACAAATATGTCCTAACCTTATCTAGGTAAACAATAATCAAATGGTGAATCAATATAACAATCGGAGGCAAGCAATGGTAGTCCTAACCTAACACTAATTAAAATAGAGCCCAGTCGCCCTCGGACTACCGCATATACTGTAGGATGCCTTATTCAGGACGGACAGTATATGTGATAGCCCTTCAACCACTACACTCACTGTAGGATGCCTTATTCAGGACGGACAATGAGTATAGCAGCCTGGACAGACTGGTCAGCCAATGCAGACGAGATCCAACAAACTATGGTTAGCCTCCATACTGGAGGTCAACCTCGTCTGTGGCAGGCCTTAACTGGTTTGGCCTTCCAAATTCTCTCTCTAACTGTAAAACAGGCGAGGAATATTTAACGTGAATACTTCATTCACTGCACTCGTCTTCTAACCTTGGCTGCGTCCCAAGAACAACTCCAGACGACTGCAGAGTCTCGGTATTTATACACGACTGATGTCACGTGATGTCATCAGTGACTAATTGAGAACTCTGCATGGTCGTATCTGAAAATTCCGGAATCATTACAATTGAATGTAGAACGCAACAAGCGAGGATTCAGACAGGGTTCACTACCGTTCACTAACGTTCCAGAGAGAGAGAGAGAGAGAGAGCGAGAGAGAGATTGTTGATAAGTTGGAGATATACGAAAAATTATTTTCTGAAAACAATTCTTTAATTTCCATCCTTCATTAAATTGTAAATAAGTATATCATAAAAGGTCTGCATTTTCTGCTTACTGATATAGGAGGAAAAAATTCAAAATGTCCCTATTGTTTTGCACTTTTTTTTCAATTAGAGTTTCAATTTCAAGTACATAAACGTTCGGTTATCGTGCCATGTCTGCGAGAAAGACAATTTGAAAGCAAGTGAACATTTGTCAAACGAAAGAATAACAACAAACGGCAAACTGAAAACATCGCAGTCTCGAGTGATAAACAATATTCACGCATTTACAATGAACCACTAGTGTCACTTTGTGACCGTGCAATATTTGTTTTCAAATACATTGTATTTCGAATAATTTAAACAGAATTAACTTTAATTAAATACGAAATTAATCTAACCTAGCTAAATCCGATAGGTAAGGACGTCAGCATTAATATTGTGACGATGCGATTATAACTTCCAAGAAAATGCTCGTCACTACATGTTTATGGTTATTTATTTAAGAATTCCAAAAGTAACATTCAACTCGCTAAAACTCTAAATTCAGACTCTCAACTAACATACACACAAATCTCATCTCTTTCCCCCAAACTCCTCCCACATTTCTAAAGATAGCCAATGAAATGGAATAAAACAGAAATTGTAACATCAAAAGAAAGATGGTTGACATTAATTTAGGCCGAATTCTCAAGACAGGAAATGCTCAACCTTTTATCTGTACGCCGAATGTAAAACTCACAATACGTCATTGATACTGTGGGACAGGAGGGGGAGAGATGTCAATACAGATGCTGAAACATCAAAGTAAAAGTAAAATACATAAATTCATTCCTTGACAATATATATGTGATTAAAAACGTAACTAAATCATTTTTACAAATATATATATATAAATAAATTGAAAAACTAGGATGATTCATAACAAATATTTTGAACATAAGTTTGACTTAGCTAAGACCTACCTAAGTCCGTTTTATGTTACAGTTTAAGACATACTTAAGTAGTACTTAGGCAGGTCTTAAGATTGCACCTAGAAGATACTTATGACCCTATTTAAGTCAAAAACTTAGCAAGCTTTATGGTACGACCCCCTGATATCTGTTCAACTTGTCACTTCAGAAACATCATTTATGCAGTCAGAAGTGGTGAATCATACATGTTCATTCACTAGTATTCTCATTTTTTTTCTACATAAAAACAAGTCAAATTATATAAACTTCAATGCAGGCAATGAACTTCCAACAAGTGACTAAATAACAACAAACACCATTGCATTAGGTAGATGAAATCCTACAAAGCAATCCTAATGCCAGGCAAATAATCCTACAGACATTGACACTAGACCCATTAAAATTCACATCACTAATTACACTCTTAAAATGTCAAAAGAGGTCTCCAGCGTTAAAATTGTAAATTATTGCAAATCTCATATAACAAAAATGTGATCTTAAAAGAAATTATCATGCAAAGGATTAATGTACAAAAAGTCACAACACAACAATGAATATCTCACTCAGCTTTCCCCGATGTATGTTTTAGAGTTTTTATGAAAAGAAATGTCAAGAGGCTGGGTACAGCAACAATTTATATGAAACTTTTAAAATTTCAACAACGCACACTTAGATGTTAAATATAACAGGTCATCAATAAAAATGGGAGCAGGAATGTATTTAGATACTCCTGAAGGCAAAGTTGAAGTAAAAACAAAATGATATAAGAATTAAAGAGTTGGGGTCACTCTGCCTGGACTAGAATAGTACGTCATCAGCTAGTTTCAGCTTTGATTTTCACTCATTTAATTTGATAAATTAAAAAACAACAACAAATATTTGTTTACATTTCAAACCACTGACAAAATGAAAATAGGAAAAAAGAAATAAATGTGTATATATACATGTGTACAACTTTTGTGATATTAAATGTCCTTGCTCGATTAAACAGTAATTGTTCAAACACAATAGTTCATATATAAGATTGTTTAGAAAATACACCGACGACTAGATTTAAATGATCACATCTTATGTTTATTGTTTCAAATTTATCAATACAATAAAACAAATTTTAAAGACTTGTACAGTTAAGATATACAAATGTTTAATTACTGCTTTTACAAAGTCTTCTAGATCGTAGAAAGAATCCACCAGGGCAGACAAATTTCTTAAATAAAAAATATATACTTGTTCTGTGTCAGTGTTCTATATATTTTTATATATATTTGCAAGTGTTTCAAAAAGTCACATAACAATAATGAGTTGTACTTTCAACTTTATAAGAAAATGCCAACAGGGTTAAAGCAATACATATTTATACGTGCAAATGAAACTTTTCGACATTTCAACAACATAAAAAAAGTATTATCTATACCTATAGAAATTCATTTTTTTACTTTAAAGATTCTTGACTTCAAAACTAGCCTTCTTATATTAACTTAATGTGTTCCTTTTCTTTAAAATACACAATTATAATAAAACAGTAATAAATTAAATATAGCCGCAATTTTTACTTTCTAGACATTTTTGTGATCTTATCGTGTCATCGACTTCACTTTTAAACTGACATATTTTTAATTTTAAATTTAACAGGTGGCATTAAATACAAAAGTAATAATCTTCCATATTGTTAATTATGATACAACACCCAAATGAACTTATAAGATAAAATGAACTTGTAAGATAAATACGTATAATCGACCTGCACGTGACCTTTCAGGTGAATATAAGAATTTATTTTTTAGTTCTGGAAAGTTATTTCACTTGCACCTGACTTCCACCCATGTGACCATAACATTCAGACATATTTTTGTGAATGTAAATTTTTACTTTTAATTAATTGAAGTTGGGAGAATTCTCTTCTTTTTGGGAAATTAGTTGAAGATTTTTTCAGGTAAGTTTCAGGTAAGTTGAATTTTTTTCCTTACAATACCCGCCCCTTCATTTTTAAAGCAATCTTTTAAACCTGTCCGACACTTATTTCTTCTACATTGCACCTAAAATAAATTTTTAAAAAATCAAAATTAATGCATCTGGATATCTGAATTTTGACCCCATTTCTTTAATTATGTTTGCCTAGGAGTTCGGCAAATGGAAACAAGCAAGCTTGCTTAATGAGTTCATATCATTTAAATATTGAATCATGAAATAAGGAGATAATGAGCAGTATTCAAGCTCTCATAGTCCATTTAAACAATACAATTCGGGAGCAGAGCAAACACGGACCTCCAAAAACATCAGAGGTGGGTTCAGGTGCCATGGAGGAGTAAGCATCCCCTGTCGACCTGTCACATCCACAGTGTGCTCCTTGTCATGATCGGGTAAACGAAAAAATCCGTAGAAATTTCATTGTGTAAATAATGGCCTAAAATTAGTATGGAATACGTCAGTCAACATTTGAACTAATGGATAGATTGTATTTGCTGACAAGGTCATTGTATCGACCATAGACCTTGCGAAATCATGACTTTGCTTTAGGTCTATGCTTCAAACGAGTCTTTTGATACCCTTATTTCATAAACATTTTGGTTAATAGCTTGCCTCGTTTTAAAAATTAATCGTACATAGAGCATGCTCTTGCGTATCGAATCAACTGGGAGACATAAACCCCATATACAGGTGATAAGGGTTTATTGTTACATAAGTATGGGGAGTTGAAGTCATCATAAAGTTTTGTTGTTAGGTTACCATTAACGTCTATTTCTAGTCAAATATTCAAGTATGAATTAGATGTGTCAGACTCTGTGGTGTCATTTATTTCAAGTTCACTGGAAAATATCGATCGACATATGATTGGAAGTAACTATTGTTCATTAATAATACGTCGTCGATATATCTAAATGTCGAATTGAAGGCAACAGCAAACGTTTTCTTCTTTTCATGTAGAAGTTTTTGAGTAAATTTTGCTTCATTCTGAAACACAAACAGGCCCTGTAATTGATAAGTCTTTTTGATAAAAATGCTCCTTGTGTCTTTATTTTCCAAAATAAAAATAGATCAGTACTCATATAGCATGATTCAAAATAGCAAAGAAAATTAGGGGGCAGTGTGCATTTTACTGAGCAACGGTACAATTTATTTGACCTTTTTGCACTTAAATTGTAACTCTTAGGTTAATCACTTTAATCTTTATTATATTTTATCAGATGTAATCCTGGCAACACATATAATCTTAGTTCACGTAAAATAGTTTGAACAGTACGTATCGTTGAACAAATCATGCAAATAAATGCACATCAATCATTATGTAACCTTTTTGCACTAAAAAAGTATCATACTTGAGGTATTAAAAATCGAAATAGACAATAAAATATTTTTTTGTATCAATCTTTTTATGTCTTTTGTGATGATTGGTTGGAAGGATCATGTAGTTTAAAATAATGAAAAAAAGTTTGCTTCGGTGAGGTAAATTTGGAGATATTGGTCAAAATATGCGATTTTCGGGCAAAAATTAGTGTAAATTTGAGGTCAACCAGAAACATTCTACTCATCGATTGTTTCTTTTTGATCAGCAATAATTCTCACATTTGTGTTACACTCCTGACCAAGAGCATGCAAATTGTGAAGCATGAATTACCTCAGAACGTGTTCTGTTGTTTCAGTGAGGTTGACGTAAAATACTTGAATTTTATAACAATTTTTCTATGTGTAGTTTTTTTTTTCATGAAAAAATTCAAAGAAAAGATAAAAAAAACAACCTTGGATTGATCAAATTAAAAACGAGACAGGTTCTTCTGATAAATTGGTAATAATTTAGTACTAAATAATTCAAATAGATAATTATTGATTAAAGAATATTTCTCAGTATGAATAGA